TGAAGGAGTAGTTCCCGAGGAAGAGGAGGTCATTGACGTCCCCTCAGAGAAGGAGCTGACAATCGCAAACCTTATCGGAGACAAGATTGAGATCATTGCCCCCATTAATTCCCCCTCCCTGGACTTCAATGACAATGAGGACATTCCAACTGAACTCAGCGATTCCTCGGAAACTCACGATGAAGGTGTGTGACTGGTGGCTGCAGGTATTGTGGTGGGATTAACACAGGCATCCCCAAACTTGGCCCTCCAAATGTTTTGGGACTACAATACCCACCATCCCTGACCAATGATCCTGTTAGCTAGGGATGATGGGAGTTGTAGTCCCAAAAGATCTGGAGGGCTGAGTTTGGGGGTGCCTGGTTTAACAGCTCCTGTAAGTCTCCCCTGCCCCCCATCTTGAATACTGTAGTGGTACCTCGGGTTACAGACACTTCAGGTTACAGACTCCGCTAACCCAGAAATAGTACCTTGGGTTAAGAACTTTGCTTCAGGATGAGAACAGAAATTGTGCGGCGGCGTGGTGGCAGCAGCGGGAGGCCCCATTGGCTAAAGTGGTACCTCAGGTTAAGAACAGTTTCAGGTTAAGGACAGAACCTCAAGAACTAATTAAGTTCTTAACCCGAGGTACCACTGTATGACAACCAATTTGGAAGGCTCAGGACTTCCAAGCTCAAAGTCCATCTGCTGGATTTCCAATGATGTCTAATATTCCTTTGTTCTTCTCTAGGTTGCATGTATTGCTTGATAACTTTTAGAGTTTGCATCATCATTAGGTTACTGGTTAGACAGTCTCAGCACTGTCCACCAAAAGCAACTCCCAGACAAGTCTTCATTGATTTCAGTAAGGCTTGTGCAGGAGATGTTCCTAGATTAGTGAGGGGTGGGATTCACATGAGACTTTTTAAATTGATTTCATAATATAACCAGATAAGTAATAACATAAAGTCAACTTAGTGTATAAAAGCAAGGCAAGGAATACAATATTATAAGCATGAGGAATAATTACACCCAGAAGTAACTCAATACAGCCATATTTCTCTAGATGATGCAGGGAGATGTTGTTGCATATCCAGATCTGAAACGTAAGAAATAAAATACCACCAAACAGAATAGAAATGTTCAGGGTCAGCCTTCTCTTTGGAGACATATAGTTCACATGAGACTTTTGACTACTCAGGAACCAGATCAAATGGCAGAGATGTTAGAGCTCATTGAGTCCTCCTGAAGATCTCCTCTCACATTTTGCATTCATGGATCACTTTCGGAAGGGATCCCACAATCTTTCCCTACATGGAAATGTGACATCAGGTTTACTTAACTGTTTCAGGGATGAATCTGTGAGCAGGATCACCGTTCCCTTTGGGGTCCTGCTTGCGGACTCATCTCTGGAACTGACAATCTCAAAATCAGTGTCATGTTTGCAGGCATCGTAAGTGTTCCCCTGAGCCCAGACTATTGCGTCCAGGTATGTCAGGTGAAAGACTGCAACGTTAAGCTCTCTGCTTCTTTATACAGGGGAAGTTCAGGCCTTTTACGATGATCTGAATGGACGGCAGTACATGAACGAAGTCTTCAATTTTAGTGTGGATAAGCTGTATGACCTGCTCTTCACAGACTCTCCGTTCTTGAGGGACTTTATGGAGCAGCGGCGGTTTTCTGGTAAGCTTGGGAACTCCTTGCCTATTTACATCAGTCAATAGTACTCTTTGGCACCGGCTAACATCATTTTTCTTTAGTCAAGCCTATTCAGATACATGAAATGTTGACACTTCTCTCAACCTGTTTTTAGCTTTCTGTTGATTTGATTTTTTTATTTCATTTTAGTCCGACTGTTTCTGTTTTTACTGATGATTTCATCATTTTAAACTTTCTGTAAACTGCTTTGTGGTTGTTGGGTTGTTGTTGTTGTTGTTGTTGTTGTTTACAATCAAGGGCTATATAAATTTTAATAAATAAAATGTTGCACATCCATACTACAAATCCGAATCAGTTTCAAATGTCAGAATGACATGCCGCACAACCAAAGGTCTTTGAGGATTTGTAGTTCTACAGCAGTTGCTCAAGATCACCAGCAAACCATTCTCTATGCCTCTCACAACATTGTAGTTCCCAAGATTTGGGTCAGAAAATGTGGCGGGGAGGGTGATCTTCCTGAATTCATTTTGTAACCTTAACCCTCAGCCAAAGTAACAATGAGGGTTTTTGTCCCATTGCCTGAGTTCTGTATCATGGTTTTTATTTTTTACGACAATGGAAAACCAAGAAGAAGAAAATGTTCTTGCTGGTGGGAAAAGGACAACCCCCCCACAATTCTTCCACCCCACCCTGCCCAGCACCTAATTTGTATTTTATTTGGATCATTGATATCACACGTTTTCCTCCAAGCAGCTCAGATTGGGATATTGAGTCGGACGGGACATTGCCACACCTTCAGCAGAGATGCTCGTGATTAGTGGGGTTCTCTGGAGTTGTTCAGCTCCCCTGGGCAACTCCACCAGACTTTATCAAAACTCCTCCTAAGTTCTGCCAAACCCCTGTGAGAACATGTGCAAGTCTAATTGAAAACCTCCCTGAAAACAGTTCCTATAGAGCTTCAGCAAACCTCCCCAAATTCCCTTTGAAAATTCACTTTGATAAACTACAGGTACCTGAAACCCACCTGAGGACCATCTGGCCGGTCTCATCAGATTGCAGCACCTCACAAATTAGAGGGGCCTCAGTGTGAATCCAGCTGTGGTTTGGCTCAAGTAATGTGAACTTTGGGCCTGAAAGCCCTGGGATGAAATCCCACCCCCTTCTCTCTCTGTGGCCTTGGGCAAATTACTATTTTTCGCCCTCAGTTTCCTGTTTTAAAAATGGGAACTTTTAATGGCCCACTTGATCAATGGAAGGGAGAACAGGATTTAGGATAAAAGGCACCACATGCATACCAAAACAATAAGCCTTCTGTGTCCACCCTGCTGAGTCTGCCAGCTGGGGTGGAGGTGGGGCTGTGGCTTGACTTTGGTCATGGGAGTCATTTTTATTTTCCCCTGGGAACTGCATTGTGCTTTGCATTCTCACCCATTGGCCTTTGTTTTGAACATAAGAAGAGCCTGCGGGATCAGTCCATTGGCCCATCTAGTTGCACGTCCTGCTCTCACAGTGGCCAACCAGATGTTGTGATGGGAAACCCACAAGCAAGACTCTCCCCTCCTGTGGTTTTCAGTAGCTGGTATTCAGAAGCACTGCTGCCTCCAGCTCATAGCTATCAACCGTCCCTTATTTGGCGGGAAACTCCCTTATCTCAGCACTGTGTCCCGCTGCTGTCCCTTATTGATGATGTCCCTTAAATTTCCCAGGTTTCAAAGGAAGCAGCTCCTCTCCCTCCCTCCCTGCCGGCCAGGGAGGAGGGAGGCTCCAACTGTGTTGCTTGGCTGTGTTGCTCGCCCAGTAAGGAGTCTAAGAATGACTGGGGGGTGGAGTTTGCATGCCTTGTGCCGATCAAATTGGCCGTGTTGCCTGGGGACTCGCCTTTGCTCAGTGCTTCCCAGCGGAGAGGTGACGGTGGTTTTCCTTGCTGCATCCCCTTGGCCGGGTTGCTGAGCTGTGGGAACCACCGCTTGAGGCTTTCTTTGGCTGCTGGCTGGGCTTTCTGCCTTTGGCTCGGAGGGGCTCAGAAACTGAACATACCTGTGCCCGGAAAATCCCTTATTTTGGCTGCTGATCCCTTATTTTTGAGGCTGCTGGTCCCTTATTTTCAAATCTGTAAGTTGACAGCTATGCTCCAGCTGTGAAGGAAGAGTATGTCCATCCTGGCTGGTAGTCATCAGTTGCCTCCTCCTCCTCCTCCTCCTCCTCCTCCTCCTCCTCCATGAATTTATCTAATCCTCTTTCAAAGCCATCCAAGTTGGTGGCTTTGAGCGTCTCTTGTGGCAGAGAGTTCCAGTGTTTAACTGTGCGCTGTGTGAAGAAGCACTCTTCTTTCATCTGTTCCTTTCTCTTTTCCCAGACATTGTCTTTCATCCCTGGAAGAAGGAAGAAACTGGCAATCAGAGCAGAGTTATCCTTTATACCATCACCCTCACCAACCCTCTAGCCCCAAAAACTGCCACTGTCACTGAAACTCAGGTGAGAAGCCCGAGGCCTGCACTGGACTGTTCAGCTTGAAGTAAGGATGGTTCAGTTAAGGCTGCAGAGGCCCCATTCACATTATACATTGAAAGCACTACGACATCACTTTAAACAGTCATGGCTTCCCCCAAAGAATTCTGGGAGCTGTAGTTTGTTAAAGGGTCTGAGAGTTGTTAGGAGACCCCAATTCCCCTCCCAGAGCTGCAATTCCCAGAGTGGTTTTATCAGTCAATCACTCTAAACTACAGGGAACTCTAAGCTACAGATCCCAGAATTATTTGGAGGAAACCATGACTGTTTAAAGTGGTGTCATAGTGCTTTAAATGTTTGTCGTAAATGTGGACATAGCCTCTGAGTGCATTCAGACATGGTGCATATTGTATTAATTTCCCTGATAATGTTAGCACTCCTGTCTCATTTTCTAACGTTCCTTTCCTGCTGCAGTACCTGTTGCATTAAGGAACCATGGCTTTTTTTACCGATATACCGGCACATCACGCTAAATTTCAATCACACGTGGTGTTGCACAGCAACTGATGTCATTGGACAGCATTGCTCCTCTCCCGCCCTGTCCACACATGCCTGCTTCTGTTCCCCCATGAAAATGTCAAGAAAGAACTGTGTGCTAGTATAGCATCATTTTATGAAATAAATTATGAAATAAATATATTGCCCCAAATTCTGACACTTTACTCCCATGATTTTCCAGATTAAAGGGGTTGCAAACCGATTTTTTTTTCTAGAATCAAGTAACACTGAAATGAGCACTAAACCTGTGCTATACCCCATTAGTTTTCTGAAAGCGACTAGTTTTCATGTGAAAGCTCAGATCATAGTGTTGGAAGGGTCATCTAGTCCAAACGCTCTGCAATGCAGGGATATTTTACCCGATGTGGGGCTCAAACCCACAACCCTAAGAGTAAGAGTCTTACGCTGTATAGACTGAGCTATTCCATGTGATCACAGCCTCTGTCTATTCTCTCTCTGCTTTCTCCAGACAATGTACAAAGCAAGCCAAGAGAGCGAGTGCTACGTGATAGATGCAGAGGTGCTAACTCACGATGTCCCCTACCATGATTATTTCTACACAATTAATCGTTACACATTGACGCGCGTTGCCAGAAACAAATGCCGACTCAGGTGGGTATGGCAGGGCTATAGCTTTGCGATATTAGCAAGGACTATGATAAACGGAGTTGAATGACACCTGCCCAGATAGGTTGCTGCTGCTCGTATTTCTAAGCTTGGAAACACAAGTCTCAGAGGCTAGTAACACTCAGTTTACTCTAAGCCAGAAGGGCAGGAGATGTTTTTCAGCCAGAGGACTATGTGGTCTCAAGAACTTTCCAAGAGCTGCATGCCAGTGGAGGGTGAAACCAGAGGCAAAAGCAGATAGAGCGACACATTTAGGATTATGATGATTATATCGTCACCATCATTGATTTATTCATTGCCTTCTAAACCATCATCTCAAGGCAATTTACACTTAAGAAAATTGAGAACAGCTGAAAACAAAAGACAGCAATTTAATACATTGCTGAAAACGGTGCAAGACCTTTTAAGAAAGTCAGACAGAAAGAAAATTCATTGAATTTGGAGCAAGGAGAGTTTTAACTGTAGTTTCAGAGGAATACCATGTTTGGAAAACGTTTCACGTTGCAAATCCAAAAGCAGGTAATTGGTTGTAACAAATGCTCATGAGGCCAAAGTTACGGCTCTTGGAAGTGACCTCTTCTTTCTTTCTTTTTCAGGGTTTCTACAGAGCTACGATACAGGAAACAGCCATGGGGGCTGGTGAAATCTTTCATTGAGAAGAACTTCTGGAGTGGCCTAGATGATTATTTCCGCCATTTAGGTGAGATCTCGCTAGAGCAAGGGTTGGGGAATCTTTGGCCCTCCAGATGTTGTTGCAGACCAACCCCCATCAGCTTCAGCCAGCCTGGTCCAATGATCAGAAATGATGGGAGCCAGAAAACAACAGCATTTGGACTGCAGACCACAGATTCCCTGACCCTGAGCTAAAGCATCTAGTTACGTTTCCATTTGTTTGCTGTGATGGGATGTGGCATATGACTGAACTCCATAAAACTCAACCAATGGAGTAGATAAAACCGAGCCTTTGAAACATTTGGGATTGTCAAAAGGTTTCATTTTAGCATTTTAGCCCTGCATGCTAATACTAAAGTGCTCCATTATTTTCTTAATACTATTATATTATTATACCTGAAGGAGCGTCTCCACCCCCATCATCCATCCCGGACACTGAGGTCCAGTGCCGAGGGCCTTTTGGCGGTTCCCTCACTGCGAGAAGTGAGGTTACAGGGAACCAGGCAGAGGGCCTTCTCGGTAGTGGCGCCTGCCCTGTGGAACGCCCTCCCAGCAGATGTCAAGGCAATAAACAACTATTTTACTTTTAAAAGACAACTGAAGGCGGCCCTGTTTAGGGAAGTTTTTAAATGTCTCATGCTGTATTGTTTTTAATATTCGGTTGAAAGCCACCCAGAGTAGCTGGGGAAACCCAGCCAGATGGGCGGGGTATAAATATATTATTATTATTATTATTATTATTATTATTATTATTGTTATTATTATTTATCATCATCATCATCAGTATTATTAAAAATTGGTATACCGCAGATCTCAGGGAATTCCCAACATAAAATTACAATATAAAAACCACAAAATGCATAATAAAAATAAGAACAAAAGCAAATCAATAATCCCCTCTCTCCCACGACATATTTAAAAGGGCACCAGATGTCAAACAGCCAAAGGCCTGCTTAAAGCAGAATGTTTTCACCTGCCACCTAAAGGTGAACCTCCCTGGGGGGAGCTTTCCACAAATGGTGAACCAATGCAGAAAAGGCCTCTTCTGATATCGCCTCCCTCTGGACCTCTCGTGTATTAATAATAGTATTGGTATTATTAAAGTATTACCCACCCTTCAGCAGCAGGTCCCAGAGCATGTTATGATGATTTAAAATTCTGAATTAAAAACAGTTTAACAGATTACAACCGAAGAAGTAAGAGTGGGCCCCTGAAAACACACATCTCAGGTGTCAATGAGGTGTGTTTTCAGCATTCCCCAAAAGCTATATAGTGAGGGTTTGGGGCACACCTCTGCTGGGAGGGAATTCCACAACTCAGGGGCTACCACAGAGAATGCCCTGTCTTGGGCCGTCACCACCCCAAAATTCTGAGGGAGTGAGAGGGTTTCTACAGAGGGAGGTGGTGTCTCAGATATTTGGGGAATGTGTTATTTAGAGCTTTGAACACTAACCTGAGGCACCTCAGATTGGGCCCTGAAATGAACTGGTAGTGTATATGTACAGAAAAACAGCAACTGGCAGTTCTTCGGGTTCATTATATGTAAATGTATTTCTGTCCCTTGAAGCTACTGGCTCGATGGGGTGGGGTTGGGGAGGCTGAAAACAGGCGCTGTTGTGATGATGCCTGTGCCCCTGACCATAACCCCTGTTGTGGCTGAAGTGAAAGCGGTGCCTTCTCTCCATGACCGATACCTGCCCCTCCCCCCGGCTTTCCCTGGCAGAGAGTGAACTGACCAAAACAGAGAGCACATATCTAGCCGAGCTCCATCGAGAATCCCCCAAAGTGAAGGCAAGCAAGCAATCCACAGTGCGCCGGCGGAAGCGGCCCCATACTCACCTGAGGGGGCCTCACCTGGAGGAAGTGCTGAGCCCTGTAACTACCCCCACAGACGAGGAAGCTGTAGGTCGAATCAAGCGTGTGGCAGGTAAGGAGCACCATGTACGAATGGGGGCGGGGTGGGGGGACATGTTTAGGCTTATGGGATGGGCAGAGGCCCAGGTCCCTCTGAGGTAGTTTCATTGAGGGTGTGGAATAGGAGTCCTTGAGGGGAAATGGTTTTCCTAGAGTAAGGTAAAGGGACCCTTGACCATTAGGTCCAGTCATGGCTGACTCTGGGGTTGCGGCACTCATCCCGCTTTATTGGCCAAAAGAGCCGGCGTACAGCTTCCGGGTCATGTGGCCAGCATGACAAAGCCGCTTCTGGCGAACCAAAGCAGTGCACAGAAACGCCGTTTACCTTCCCGCCGGAGCGGTACCTATTTATCTACTTGCACTTTGAGGTGCTTTCGAACTGCTAGGTTGGCAGGAGCAGGGACTGAGCAACGGGAGCTCACCCCGTTGCATGGATTCGAACCGCTGGCCTTCTGATCGGCAAGCCCTAGGCTCTGTGGTTTAACCCACAGCGCCACCCGCGTCCCTTTTTCCTAGAGTAGCGCTTCCCAAATTGTGGCGCAGGGTACGCGAAAGGGTTTCAAAGGGTAAATGGCAGACTTTTTCACTTGACTGTATCGTAGATGAAATAGTATTATTAAAACTACCCTGAAATTATCTTTGCCTGAGAAGGGGTACCCCATTATGACTAAGCTTTAAAATGGGGCATGTGGTTATTGTAAGTTTGGGAAACACTGTCGTACAGTGTTGTTGATATTAAACCATAGCGTGGGTGACCAAAGGAGGATTTTCTTCCCCAATATGTATTTATTTTATGGAATGTATAGACCACTTGATTGTAAGGGGGAGGGGGGGGACCATGAAATAAAACTATGAAATTATCAGTAAAAACAAAACAAAACAAAACCACATTTAAAATGACTATTTAAAACATTTTTTTTTAAAATTAAATCAGTGAGAAGCTAAAAACAGATTTAATCAAGTCTCAGTGTTCTACATTTCTGGATAGGATAGGGATTGCCTTAAGCAAAAATGTGTTCAGCAGGCCCCAAAAAGAGTACAGGGAGGAAGCCAGCTAGGCATCAATAGGCAGGGAGTTTCGAAGCGTAGTTGCTGCCACGTCAAAATATTGATTTATTACAAACGCAGAATGACTATTATGTGGCATCTGTAATGATGCCAGTTCTGCAGATCGAATATATGGGACGTATGCCTTTTGGTGTGTTTAAGGGAAGGGACTTTACCTCTTCAGTGTAAAACGAATGCTGCTTTCCAGGTTCCACTCAAACACGGCATATCCCTGAGGAAAGTCCCAGCGGCTTCCACCTGCAGAGCGTCTCCAAATTGCTGCTCATTATCAGTTGTGTGTAAGTGATTCTTCGACCTGGTTTGTCAGTTTCCTTGTTCTGTTACTGCGCTCTATCTCTCCCTCTCTCTCCCTCTCCCTCCCTCCATTTTAGTCTGCAGTCTAGTAGGATTATAATAGTGTTAAGATTTTTATTTTTTTATTTTTTGGTAAATTGATCCCTCCCACCCAGATTTTGAGGTATCCCAAGTCCATTCCCCTCACCCTGAATCAGGTTCGCATTCCTGGGGATCCTAGGAGGTGTTTTGGCATTAATAGATGTTGAAGAGAGAGTGGTTGTTTATGTGGGCAGGGGAAGAGCTGGGGCAGGGCAGATGGGGAAGGAGACAAAGCCAAGAAGCAGCTGTGGAGAGGATTGCGGAATGAACTGCTTCTTTGCCAAGAGTCAATTGGGGAAAGACCCAGCATGTTTGGGAAAGAGAGGAATTCAAGGGTTGAGAGGGTTCAGGCTTCTGCGGAGCTTGCTTATGGTTTGCGATGTGATTGTGTGCCTTCCTCCTCCTCTCCAGAGAAAAATAGTATGGCCCATTTTTGTGCAGGAAGCATAGCAGTACACTCTGCAACACATAATCATTTAAAGTTGTTGTGATGATAATATGTTTTGCTCTGTTTGTGGCGTTTCCTGTTTTTGGTTAAGTTTGGGGACCTTTTAGCTGTGGACTGGTTCAACTTTGGAGGCAATAAGTTGTACCACCTGAATTAAAAGTAAGGGAAACCCCATCATCCATCACCTCCCAAGCTTCAAATTCACCCATCCAGCATTTTAAAATGCTGTGCCTGTTGGTTGGTCTGGAAGAATGTTTACATTCTTTTTTAAGCAGAACTGTGTTTTTTAATAAAATCAAATAAAATAATACCAGATAAATTGAACT